CAGTACTGAAAGTATTGTCGAAGGGTTCATGTGCACTTTAAGTGTTTGCCACTCAAAGTAAATGCACGTTTTTCATAGGTTCCGTCACTAAAGGAAGTTTTGGGTGGATTTGGTCATGCAACCTTCATCAATACACCCAAGAAAACAAGCGAGTAAGACGACGATAGCCCAAATACTGATATCAGACAATACGGGGTACTTGTGGAGCAACTACTACGCCATTCTCTTAATGCTGATCCAGATCATCAGGTAAAATATCATTTGAGTCCCAAACATGTTTATTGTAATATATTCTGAAAGAAGACGCAATCAAATCAGTAAAGACATGCTGCGACCTCTAGAGGCAGCGTGAACATCTTTCTTTATCATGCGCGCGCATATTCAATTGGTTGACAACTTCATCATTTAAAGCTGCAAAGAAAAACAATATAGAAACATATATAGAAACAGACTATAAAGAATAGTATGTCCTCTACTCAGACGGGGTATCGAATGAGCTAAATCTTATCTATCATTTGGATTATGTCATGCGTGACTTGCATATGATGGTAATTGCGGGAATCAAATTCGATACTCCAGAGGTGACGGGGAATGACTTACTACTACAACACCCTTGATTGAAACTTTCACCATGGTGTCACCCTTGAGTATACCCTTCTTGTCACATCAAACTTGATAAACATCAAAGATGTAAAGATGAGAGTATGTGGACCGCGTGGCACTAATGAAATAGTAGAAGATAATATAGGTAAGTTGTAGTGCTTGGGAACGAGGTTATTCCGGGCGAAAGCCCTTGGAATTAAATTCGGAAAAATTAATTTCCGACCTCGCTGGGATTCGAACCCACGACCTTCGGAATTGTACTACCGATGTTCTACCAGCTGAGCTAGAGGTCAGACTGAGAGCAGGCCGGGGTGAAATAGATGTTAGGTCGCGGTAATTATGATCAAAGATGTGGGTTTTATTGAGTTTCCTCGTCAGTATCAGTAGATGCACACATTACAAAGATTCTCGAAACTCCTAAGTTTTTTTCCTCTTTCCTGTTCTGTCCTAAACAATACGGTCATTCCATCAAATATTAAGTACATTTAAACAAGTCGAAATGTAAAATACTTTAGTATGGCAATATGCCCAGTATCAATAGTTCATATATATCTATTTTTCAAATATATGAAGTGTGGGTAGTTTGAGGATTGTGGCTTCATAATTAGGACTCTTCGTCCTCGTCTGTTCTCTTTTTCTTCTTCTCTCGTAAATATATAATGATTATAATGAGTCCTATCGTCAAAGCAATGCCAAACAAAGAACCAGCTACGACAAGTACAGTCATCAACAATTTTGCGGACGTTTCTTCATCTTAAAAAAAGGAATAAAAGAATTCGTTTAATATTCGTAAAAAGAAAGACAAACAAGTACAGAAACAGAATATAGAGATACGTCATCTCCGCCATGTTGGCGGTGTAACAAAAGACTTAACAAAGGTATTTGGCTTTCATTGTTAATACCAGCGACATTGCCACCATGTCTTTGTTATCTGACGGGTTTAATTAATGATTGCGATTCATCAGCATTAAAATGACCTCAGAAATTTTCCACAAATTCATCTTTAAAGAGAAAAGAGTAAGATTTGCTCGAATTATTCTTGGTGTGCAACCAAATTCGGCAAAATCCCTCGAAACGTAAATAACAATGAATTCGAAACAGCCGCCATCTTGGTTGATCTAGTGAGGAATGCTTTGTATAGTCAACCAACATGGCGGCTATGACGAAGATGCACCCCGAGAATATTTGTATCTACTAATAATGTTACTGCACTGAATTACTTACCGGATTCTTCCTCGTCTAGCTTTTGCTTTCCAATTAAGGCTTTTGCTTTTTCTAATAAAAAAGAGAATATTATTTTAAGGGTTTGCAGCCAATGATAATATGGATCGATATTTTTGATAACAATGTACATAGATGATTGAGCATGGAGGTGGAGCAGTATTTGCCTGTGATAACGTTCATAAGATTCATTCATTCAGCTGATTGATAACTCTTGTCATTTCTACTAGCTTTAGCCGTTGTATCACAGCGTGGAACAATCACAACAGAGCAAGGCTCCAAACTAGTTGAAAGCCCAAAGATCGAATTAGAATTTAGTAGTTGATTTTTGAGGAGGGAGGAAAACCGGAGAACCCGGAGAAAAACCCTCAAAGCACAAGAGAAAACCAACTCTCTTCGGCAGGACTCGAACTCGGGCCGCATTGGCGAGAGGCGGTGCATTAGCAGCGTACGCCTTCCCTTTTAGTGAAGGGCATCATTCTGTTTTCTAAAGAACTCTATATTTGCTCTACCCTGTTTCTTTGTGCCTTTGACGCTATTTGATTAACAATGCCTCTGTCCCTAATTTTCGGATATTTGTATACAATAAAGGGTTTCTTTACTGGCCAGCTTACCAATGTCTGACGAATCTTCAATCTTTACAAGTACTTTGGATGAATTTCCAACAACAGCACGAGGTTCATTAGGAATTAGAATGTTCACCGTAAAGAATTCTATGTTTTCAACTTCACTGTCATCTTGAATGTAGGCGTGTACAATGATTCGTTTTTTTTCACTCGTAAAAATTACATCCTTAGACAGGATTTTGAAGTCCAGGCCTTCTTTAGCAGTGTCTGCTCCATCTTGATTCACTACTAACCTGTACGATAATCAATCAATAATACAGAACAGTGATTTTAATATCACAAGCCATTAAAAAACACGAGCTAGGCTTCACGATTGCTTGCCTGTTTCTTAGAATGGGTTTTGTATACACCTATTTCAATAAACGTTTTCATCGCCAAAGGCTGAAGCAATAGGCAAAAAGCAATAGGACATAGTTCATTCCAAGATCATCCAAGAATAGTTGAAATGACTTGTGCTTCTGCTTCTTATTCTCGTCAAGAATATGGACCTTAGTGTTGGGACTGATTCAATGTTGTTTGTATTCAACGAAACCATTTCCATGTCGGAATGACCTATCGCCTATTGCCGTTGGCGATGACAACGCTTTTTGAAATCACACACTGGTGTGAGCAACGTTTAGTATGTGGCAATACTTACTTGACGTCGAAAGGTATAGCGGTAGCACCATTCATTACAAGAGCTAGATCAACCCTTCCTCCTATAACATCCTCCTCTACTGTAGCTGTCTTGTTTTCAAAATGTATTGTAACTGAGGAAACAAAATCAGTTTGAATTCTTCGAGTTTGGGTAATAAATACCGTATTAGAAACGCCATAGATCTCAGTAATCACTCCAAATTTGCATTGTTTAGTATGGTTCACCATTCTTGTGCCCCCCGTATAAACAAGCTGTGACGGTCATAGTGAAATAGGAAATGTGATACAGTTTTCAGGGCATTATGGACTGGGATTGTTTTCTATCCCTTTCCCAACTAGAATTTCCCTGTTTTTACCTTGATCATCATCAAGAATGAATACTGTTAGTTGTTTTTGCGTTTCGTTGATTAACACATGTGGATTATTTACGCTGCCCAGGAAAAGATGAACTGTTTTGTTGTGTTCTAGTATGTTATTGTCTTGGATTATCAGGTCAAAGCATGTTTGATTTTTGTCGAAAGCGAAGGTAACAGACGAAGGCCATTTGATTGCATTCGAATCACTTGCAAATCTGTAAAATAATTAGAAGACGCATTGAGATGAGTAAAAGAAGTTGAGGAGGAGAAGGAGAAGGCAAATGAAGAGGAGGAATCGAATAGTAGGAGTAGTAGTAGTAGTAGTGGTAGTAGTAGTAGTAGTAGTAGTAGTAGTAGTAGTAGTAGTAGTAGTAGTAGTAGTAGTAGTAGTAGTAGTAGTAGTAGTAG